CCAGGGCTGGCTCGCTCCTCCACGGCAGTGCCTGGTTCCTTCCAGAACGGAGGTCTGCACACTGGCCACAGCTACCTCCCAGAGAGGCAGGGCTTCCATCCAGGCCCCCAGATGCTACCCAGGCCTGCTCAGATTTTCACACGTCCGCACCCCAACCGTCCCTGAACCTCCTGCAGGGTTCTGCGGGCCTCCAGGGAAGGCCAAACCGCCCTCCTGCAGAAACATCGCAGACACTAGGAGAGTCTTTTGTGAGATGTACCAGCTAAAAAAACAACCTCCCCACCAAACTGTCGTTTCTGGAAGTACACAGCAAGGGCACCGTGCAAGGGTCCCGGACCGAGAGGCCAGGACTCCACGGTCGGCCCGCACGGCCTGCGGAAGACAGTCACCCTCTCCAGACCTTGGTCTTCATCTGGGAAACGTGTGTTAACACTCATCTTGTGGCGTGACTGTGAAGATCAGAAGTACTGTAATCCAGAGGCTGGCACATGATAGGGTTTTTGTCTTAAGGATCCTCCCTCCACGCTGGTGGAGAGTTTTAACCCTATGACCTAAAACGAGAGTATCTAGCACAACCGATGAGGCAGGTACATTGTCCCCACTTTATGGAGGAGAGGCTGAGGCCCCTGGGGGTGAGATGGCCTTCCCAGGCTCACTTAGCCGACAGTGGTGGAGCCACACTGGTCACCAGGCATCCTGGCTCCAAAGCTGTGACCCTTTGCCCCAAGCCCCACTGCGGAGCAGAACAGAGGAGGGGCCGGTCTGCCACCAGCACTGGAAATCCCAGCCTCTGCCTGTGGGCTTCCAGGGCAGGGTTCTGGTGTCAGAGTGGGCTGGGAAGGGTCTGGATAGGCACTGAGGGGCAGGGCCAGCAGGTGGAGGCACGGACGCGCGCTCGCGCGCGCGCTCTCTCTCTCTCTCTCTCTCTCTCTCTCCTCTCCCCTTCCTTGGCTGGCACCGCCCCTCTCCAGTGCTTTAGGGACATGGAGCCTTCAGGGCCGTTGCTGGCTTCTAAGGCTGGCAGGATGGCAGGGGCTCAGCAGGGGCCCTGCTCAGACACCCGGCAAGGCTGAGCTGGGGGTGGCTGGGTGTCTTAAATTATGCTTCTGTTTCCCGAGCTATTTCCTGGGGACACCCAGTGGAACTGGGCCAGAGAGACCTCTGCGGGAGCACACACACCTGGCGGGTGGCCAGGCATATGTCCAGTGGCATAGGTCCTCCCGCCCTCCCACAGGCCTGGGGCCCTGTGCCTTCTTTGAGGACAGGACAGGGGATGGGCAACAATACACAGACTGACTCAGGTCCCCAGGGCCCAGTGGCCGGCATGGAACTGCAGGGGCACCCAGACAGAGCTCGTGGTCGAGTGGGTGTGTGTGCAGGTTGCACCCCACGGAAGTGGTTTGTCTGGCCCTGCACACAGACCCTCAGCCTGTCACGGGATGTGGGACCTGGGGTTACATGGCCAGAAGATCGCAATGAGGGGGGTGTAGCCGTCTCTTGCCATGGGCTGTGTGGACGCATGTCATGCCCACACATGGACTGCCATGGGTCTGTCCAGCTGGCTCCCTGCCTGCACAGAAGAACAAAGCCCTGGACCATCGCTCCCAGGCTGGGGTCCTGTCTTGGCTTTGTCCTTGACTCGCCATGAGCTTTGCCCATGTCCTGGCCACGGGGAGTGGGCAGGCTCACCAGGTCTGACGCTGCCGGTCGGGGGTACATGTGCACACAGTGGGCCATCTGCGGCAGGCACGGCTGAGCCAGAAGGGGCGCTGTCAGCAAGATCTGCACAGGGCCCGGGCCTGCAGCTCCTGCAGGGCAGGTGTCAGAGCCGAGGGGGTGCACACCGCCCTGGCTTTACACGGACCTATCTGTTCGCTGGCCTCACCGGGCCCAGAGGCAGGAGGGAGGGTCTGTTCATTCCCTCGCTCATTCATTCTTTCTCACACTACCAAGCTCGAAACCTATTGTACGCTGCTCTGAACACAGGGATGACAAGGTGGAGCCTGCCCTCCTGGAGCTGAAGGCGGCGGGAGGCAGACTCAGCACACGCCCAGGTCACAGTGCAGGGAGCGTGTGGAGGTGCGAGAGCACGAGGCTGGGCTGATGAAGGCCTGGCCCGGGGCAGCGGCAGTGGAGAGGGATGAGGAGGCAGACTCAGCACACGCCCAGGTCACAGTGCAGGGAGCGTGTGGAGGTGCGAGAGCACGAGGCTGGGCTGATGAAGGCCTGGCCCGGGGCAGCGGCAGTGGAGAGGGATGAGGAGGCAGACTCAGCACACGCCCAGGTCACAGTGCAGGGAGCGTGTGGAGGTGCGAGAGCACGAGGCTGGGCTGATGAAGGCCTGGCCCGGGGCAGCGGCAGTGGAGAGGGATGAGGAGGCAGACTCAGCACACGCCCAGGTCACAGTGCAGGGAGCGTGTGGAGGTGCGAGAGCACGAGGCTGGGCTGATGAAGGCCTGGCCCGGGGCAGCGGCAGTGGAGAGGGATGAGGAGGCAGACTCAGCACATGCCCAGGTCACAGTGCAGGGAGCGTGTGGAGGTGCGAGAGCGCGAGGCTGGGCTGATGAAGGCCTGGCCCGGGGCAGCGGCAGTGGAGAGGGATGAGGAGGCAGACTCAGCACACGCCCAGGTCACAGTGCAGGGAGCGTGTGGAGGTGCGAGAGCACGAGGCTGGGCTGATGAAGGCCTGGCCCGGGGCAGCGGCAGTGGAGAGGGATGAGGAGGCAGACTCAGCACACGCCCAGGTCACAGTGCAGGGAGCGTGTGGAGGTGCGAGAGCACGAGGCTGGGCTGATGAAGGCCTGGCCCGGGCAGCGGCAGTGGAGAGGGATGAGGAGGCAGACTCAGCACACGCCCAGGTCACAGTGCAGGGAGCGTGTGGAGGTGCGAGAGCACGAGGCTGGGCTGATGAAGGCCTGGCCCGGGCAGCGGCAGTGGAGAGGGATGAGGAGGCAGGTGCGAGTGTTCTTGGTGGTCTGTCAACAGCACCCACAGGGAGCAGCTGGACTGCAGAGAAGGGGAAGGGCCTGGAGTTGGACATGCTGCCTGCATGCCGGCCTGGTGCCTGAGTGGACATCTGTGACCCCGCACAAGAACCTGGGTTTCGGGAAAGGAGGCCCATGTCCAGGGCTGCCCACCCTGCTGTGACTTTAATGTCTAGGCTCTCCTCTTTCCTCGTCCACAGAAAAGGATTGGTGTCAGCTACCCCCAGGCCCTGGGCGACCCCGGTTCTGAGCCCTGGGGCAGGTGGGACAGGAAGGTCCTGCCGCTCCAGCGGGCATGTAGAATGCTGACTCGCGTACTGGCCAACTCCAATGTCTAGTTCACTGGGGGCTGTTCGTGGCCCAGGGAGGAGCCTGAAGGCTGGCTGAGGTCAGAGCAGCTCCCTGTGTGGTCAGCAGGGGGCCATTCCAGAGCAAGATGCCCGTCCAGGTGCCCATGGGCGGGAAGCTGGGGGGCAGCTGCATGGTGTGAGGGGGACTTCCCTGCAGTTCCCGAAGCTGCCCTGACTCATGCCAGGGCCCCAGCAGGTGTCCTGCAGCTGGGGAGTGGCCTCGCTTTCGCCATTTGAATGCTCATAGGTGGCCCAGGTGAGTTCTGGCTCCTTCTGCTCAGATGAGCGAGCCGAGGCTGCGAGGGGCAGGGACTTGCCGTAGGCCACAGCAGGCTGTGACCCAGCTCCCCTGACAGCCCAGAGCTCCTCTGCCCAGGGCAGGTGTGGCCTCACAGAGGTGCCCAGAGGCCCTGTGTTTCTGAGGCCACCCGCGTGCCTCCCCCGTGCGGAGGGCTGCAGAGGGAAGACAGGCACAGGCAGACGGACTCTGGCTCTTGCCCTTGGACATGTGGCTGAACGGCAGGGAGAAGGGGCAGGGAGGGTTGGGGGGTGGGAGGCAGACCTCATACAGTGACATGTCCCTTAATGAAATTAGGACACTTCCAGGTTAGACCGACTGCTCGATCTGATGTGACTCAGCCTGACCCGGCAGACTGAGCGGGAACAGGCAGGGAGGGAGGAGTGGGGGCAGAGGCCGTGAGCACCCCCAGGCTGAGCCCGTCCCCCTCGCTTAGCTCTCGGAACAGGAGGCAGATTCAGTCAACCCGCCTTGAGGTGACGTGAGAGAGAAACGTGTTTGCTGTTTGCTCTGGAGCAAAAGCTGACTAATGAAGGAGGCAAATGCAAAACCTGGTCCCAACGCGGACATCATGCCATCGGCAGTGCCAGCCACAGAGACAGGAGGAAGGAACTCCGAGGAGAAGGGGGAGGGGAAGGACAGGGAGAGACGCTCGGCGAGCCCTGCACCGGGACGCGTGGACTTCCCTTTGCACGAAGAGGCCGGAGCCCCCACGAGAGGCACCAAGGTCATGTCCACACTGGGACGTCAAAACTTGTGTTAATTGTCACGATGGTGGTAGCCACCACGGTGAGTTCTTACCAGAGGGTGGGTTATTGTCATGTTGTCACTAATCTCTACAACTCTTGTCCGAGGTAGGTATTTTCAGTTCATCAAATAGTTATTGCTATACTTCACAGAAGAGGGACTTGAGCCTTTGAGAAGGTGCCACCCAGAGGTCACGAAGCTTAGATGGGGTTGGGGCTGAGAGCTGGAGGCAGGACTGTGGGACGTCGGAGCCTCTTTGTGCCCCCTGGGTCACAGGGCCCTGGCTCTGCTGGAGGTGGGGCCCCAGGCTGGGCTGGGTAAGGCGCTGGTTCAGGTCTGGGCTCCCAACCTGGCCTCCTGGGGCAGGAAGGGGCCACAGAAGTCGTCCTGGCCTTGGCACGGGTCACTCCCTGTGCCCGTGGGGACCGCTGTGAAGGGACTCTCGATTGGACGCGGGACACCTGCTTTGGGTCCCAGTTCCAGGGGGTGCTCTGTGGCTTTGCCTGCCCCATTCTGGGCCTCAGCCTTCCCCTTTAGGAAGCAGAAGCCAGGAAAGGGTTTAGCAAACCTCCCAGCCCTTAGGAATTCTGCATATAATCCCTTCCCCACTCCGGTCCAAACCTGCTCCGAAGGCGAAGAAGCAGATCTTGTCCTCATTCTCCCGAAGAAGCGCCATGACCCTCTTCCCCATCCGCTCGTTCCTCTTGTAGATGAGCTCCTGGCGGAAGTAGCTGTCGATCTCCTGGGCCGTCACCTGCTCGTGCGGAGGGAGGGTGGTGTTGATAAAGTTGGGCAGCTGTAAGGTAAGACAGAGGCTGCCTTCAGTTCCTTCTGGAGCAAGGTGGGCTCAAGTAAACACACACAGCCCGGGGGGCGAGCCACTTACCTTTCTATGTCCCCACAGTGGCTATGTGTTTTGTACGTGTTTCTCATCAATTCCAAAACCCTTTGAGAGGAGTGTTGTTATTCCAGTTTTGTAAGTGAGAGAATGAGAGTGGAAAGGCCCAGAACCACGTGTGAAGTCACACAGCTAAGAGGCCAAGCCGGGAGGACGGCCCGGGACCGCGGCACTCCCGTGGCAGCCCTCCGTGGCCCCCGTTGCTGAGCCCCAGCGTCCAGACACCCAGGCCCTGGGAGGCGGACAGAGCAGTGGTCTGCGGCTCTCACGTCAGCAGCCTGGCACCGGCGGTACAAGGAACTCTGCTCGGCGAGCAGGTGTGGACGGTCCGCGGAGCTGCCGGGGCAGCAGGAGGCACAGGGTCTGGGCTCAGGCTGACCCGGGCTCCAGGCCCCGTTCTGACACCGTGTGACTTTGGCCAAGTCACTCAACTTTTCTGAACCTCGGTGTCCCGGTTGTAAGATGGGGCTGACATTACTGTTTAGGGAGAGTTATTGAGATGGAGGGTGGTGTCATGAGCTGCATCCAGCCCACTCCACCTACGGAGGTGAGAGCAGGGTCCTGACCCTGGGTTTTCCTGACGCCTGAGCCTGCTGGCCACCATCTGTTACCCCACTGCCTTTCCATCCCCACCTCCACCACTGCCCAGGACACAACCCAACTCCTCCATCCTTCTCAGAAATTTCAATTCCAAGACCATGGCTTCCTCCCGTGACGACGGCTGGTTCAGCAAACTGTCCAGATTTCTCAGCTCTGGGCCTTCGGTCCACTCCCGGCCCTGTGACCTGGGGCCAGCATCAGACATGCTCTTGAACCAGGCAGAGGGCAACTTGAGTCCAGGGACAGAGCCTTTCTCGGTGCCTGGAACAGAAAGGGTCCGGCGAGGGTTTCTGGAACTTTGAACATGGAGGTGGTGTCCTTCCTCACCACACTGCCTGCTCCTGGGTCCTTCCATTCACGGCACATTCCTGCCGGCCTGGCGGGCGGGTCCAGGTGGCTGGCACCATGTGGGTGTGGTCTCAGAGGAAGCCAAGGGCCTTGGAGGAGAGAGAACAGACGTTTCCCTTCCCTGCCCCGGTCAGAGTGACCCCAACCTGCCAGCTCTGGGGTGCAGGGTGTCTTCCTTCTGTGACCCTGCGCCCAGGTCTCTGTCGTCACCGACGCGGCCGAGCACCGCCACGAGGCAGCTGACTGCGGACTCCCTGGATGGAGAGTCTGCGTGTGGAGACGCCCCTGCAGGTTTCAGCCCCAGAAGTGTCCCGCGGCTCCGCCATCTGGCTCCTGGAGCCACTGACGGGCTGTCCACACTCTTTCCGAGGAAAATGAAGGCGTCCGTGGAGGCTGAGCCCCGAGGGACTTGGCGAAGGCCGGACATCTGTGTCTGATGCCTGCTGGCCGAGGACCAGTGCGCTCCCCGGGGTGAGAGGGGCGGGCTGCTCTGCCAGGAAGGCCTGACTCGCTGCTCTGGGCCGTGACCGCCTCCTCGTCCGCGCAGCGCCCTGTGCAGCTGTGCGCGCAGCCTCCAGCGCCGGCAGGGGCAGAGCCGGCGGGGCGGCTGGCAGAGGGGTGGACGAAGGGAGATCTTCTCCCTCCCCAGCCCTGCAGGGGATGGTCGCCGCCCTGACAACGCAGGCCACACTGCAATCTGGTGCAGCTTCCGAGTGCAGGGGACACAGAAAGCAAGCCGGGGCCCAGAAGGGTCACGTCTGGAAACGTGGCCCTACAGGCTCCTTTCTTTCCTTGAACATGGGAAAGAGCGTCAGACAATGTTTACCAACAAGTACATATTTGTTCAGCCCGGGACCGAGGGATGAACGCGGAGCGAGAGGCAGCGGGGTTGGCCTGTGTCCCCGACGCGGAGGGCAGCCCCGCGCTGCGCCGCCTCTTCCAGCAGCTGGGTGGTCTCCGCAGGGACCGAGTGGCTCAGGTAGACACGGGTGACGGAGGCAATGTGTTTATTTCTATACTCTGACACTTTCGAGAGTGAGAGCTGGACAATGTCCGGGGCAAACCAAGACATGTGCACCCTGTGAGGTGCCTCCTCTGGCTCCCCAGTCCCTCGGCGCCTCCTCAGAGCACGGATCCCAGTGCGGTCGTGTGCAAGTCTGACTCCCGCTGGGCTTCAGGGTCAGTCATGGCAGCAGACCCGCCTGAGGGTCTCCGTGGCCACCCCACTCGAAGCAGGGTTGGGCCAGCGGGAGTGCTCAGAGGGTGTCCGTGGGCTGGAGAAAGGGTGAGGCCACTGAGGGGGACCCGTGAGGACTAAGCACTTAACTGCCAGGCCTGACCCCGTCCTGGTCGTGACTCAGGGGAGCCCACGCTGAGGTCACAGCCCACGGAGGTCACAGTCCACGGAGGTCACAGCCCATGGAGGTCACAGTCCACGGAGATCATAGCCCACAGAGGTCATAGCCCACGGAGGTCACAGTCCACGGAGGTCACAGCCCAGGGAGGTCACAGCCCACAGCACCCTTTCAGCTGCCCAGCCTGTCTCCTTGTTGCCTCATCTCAGACCCATCGCTCCAGGGCCCTGGGGACCTGATGCGTCCTCTTTAAAATCTTATCGTGTATCCTGCCCTTAAACTTGTGACAGAAGAATTAAGGCTGCCAAAAAGTCCAGTGACATCATTAATTAGCTCCCATCCCCACCTGGGCCCAAACCCAGGCCCCGGCCCTGGCATGAAGTGAAGGCCCCTCCGCATGAACGGCAGAGAATGGCGGCCAGCCACTGGGCAGCCCAGGGACCCGAGTGTCTAGCCCAACTCCTCTGCAGCTTGGATGTTAAACTTCCTGGTTCTTGTCTTTGTTAAAATTTGTTTAGCTTCCTAAGGAATGAGCGGAGACTCATCTTCCCACAAATGCACACTCCCGGGCAGGAAGCAGAGGAGGGAGGCCTCCGCCTGCCCCGTCCGCAGAGGGGGAGGAGCAGAATGCGCCTGAGGCTCTGATGCCTGAACACCACCGCTGCCATCTCCTTCTCTGCCCGAGGCCCCTCCCCAGATGCCCTGCATCCCCGGGGCAGGGTGAGGAGCTGCTCTGGCCCCAGCCATGCACACAGCCCGCGTTCGGTTGAGAGGACTTTGTACCGCGCACTGCACTCTGCGCTCTCCCAACTGATCTCACTGAATCCCCACAGCACACCCGGTCCGCCTGCCAGGGACAGATCAGCGGTGTGGACACAGGCTCAGAGGAAGTCAGCTCGCCCTGCCCTGAGGCCACCCCACTCCTCCTAGTGTCAGCTACAGCCTGGCAGGGCCTGTCCTGCACACCCCTTCCCGCAGCCTGGCCACACCACGACGGACATCTCCAGGGCTGACCAGGCCCCTCTGCAGCTCAGCTCAGCCTCCCCCAGATGACCCAGGGCAGGGCTCTGTCGCAAAGCGCAGGGCTGGTGAAGGGCCCACAAGCCTCCTGCTGCCGGACTCCCCTGCCCCTCCCTCCAGGGAGTCAGAGCTCTCAGAATCCTGAGCGGGTGGCTGGGCCGCGGGACCCTTCCTCCTTCACTCTCTACACAACCATGCACAGTGCGCACCTGCCACATCGGCCACGCACAGCGCTCACTGCTGCGTGCTCTGTGCCGGGCCCTGTGTGGGTGCCGACACCAAGAGATGAGCACACACCCTTGCCCTGTGGGGTGGCCCGCGGACACAGCAACTTGACTCGGCCTCCAACCCCAACTCTGGCCCTCCGCCTCCTCTCGCCCCCAGCTGTTCACACGCAGTTCCTCTGCGGGAACATTCCTCCTCGCGTCTGAGGCCGTTCAGGTTCTTCCCTGACCTCTCATCTGGCAGGTGTCGTCCCTTCTTCCTCCAGCCCCAGCATCCACCCCAAGCCCGTCTAATTCCTGCTCCTGTCAAAGGCTCCCACGCGTCCTCCACGCTCCCTCAGAGCGAGGATCACACCTCGGCGCAACTGCCGGTGGAATCCCCCTCTCCCGAGCCGGCCACCCACCCGGCAGCCCTCGGGCTTCCCCACGGCCGTTCATAACTGTCCCGTCCTGCTCTGTGCCAGGCCCTGCTCTGGCCAGCTGGGATACGTCGATGAATAACACAGATCCACGCTGCCCTCAGGGAGCTGCTGCTCTCGTGGGAAGGACAGACAATAACTAACCACTAATGAGTGAGTCGAGGTGCGTAGGTGGGAGAGAAAATGATAAAGGCCACGAGGGACAGCAGAGAATGAGAAAGGGCCTGTGACATGGGAGGGAGGGGCAGGCTGCAATTCCAGGTGGGGCGCTGGGGCCCGCCTCGCTGAGGTGGTGATGTTCGAACTAAGTCCTGCAGGCAGAGCGGGGTGAGCCACAGTGACCCCGGGAAGGGCGTTCCTGGCAGAGGGGACAGCCAGTGCAGGGCGCAGCAGGCCGGCTGGGCCATGGGGCAGCGCAGTGGCAGGTGTGAGGGGCGGGAGAGGACGTGGGGTCCGGGGACACACAGGCCAGTGTAGCAGCTCTGGTTTTCCCCTGAGGAGGTTGGGGAGGGGAGCCCCTGCAGTGCCCTGGGAGAGAAGTAGCCTGTTCTGACGAATTCAACTGCTTCCCAAAGGAATGGGGACCAAGCCCCATGTCACCGAAAGCACAGCAGGCTTGGAGTTGCCCGGGAGCAGACCAAACTCCATCCAGGGGTCCGGGAGGGTTTCTCAGAGGAGGCGACACGTGACCAGGTGGGAGGAGCCGGACGTGGGCAGAGCGGTCTGGAAGGGCAAGCTGCCCTGGGGAGAGCAGCATGTGGTCCCGGCCCGGAGGACAAGCTGTGGGGTGGGGACCTGGGCTCTGGCACGGTCAGCACAGGGCAGGACACGGGGCCACAGATGCTGGGCAAGGTGGCTTGGAATTTATCCAAAGGACAATGGGAGTCCTGATGGAGCCATGCTCAGCGTCTCGGGGTCCCGCCCACTGTCTGCGCGTCTGCGAGGGTTTTTCCTCTAGGCCTCAAATCGGGGCTGAGCACCCTGGGCTCCAGCCCGAGCTCTGTGTAACTGCAGGCTTTCCCTTTCCTGCGCTCTACTTTCACCAGGTGCTGAACGGAGCCTGCCAGGGGAAGCCCTGTTCTTCCAGGCGAAGCTTCTAGAGTCTCCACACATCAGGCTCAAATACTGCTCTGGATATCTGGATAACCTAACAGCCAACGAGTGGTGTGGTTTTGGGCAAGTTTCTTCCCTCTCTGATCCTCAGTTTCCCCATCTGTAAAATGGGGATCCTAAGAGCTCCAGCTTACTATGTCTGGACAGAAGAATGCCTGTGATTGGCCCACACTGGGCGTCGAATAAATGCCAGGTGGGTTCACGTGGGCCTGGCCTGGGGAGTGAGTGACCCCGAGCCTGTCCGGGCCAGGGAGGGGCGCCTCACCTGTGACGTGTCGTGGTTGAAGATGACGGCGTTGAGGTCCCCACAGTTGTAGTGCTTGATGAGGTCCTCCGTGGTGTAGGGCGCCTGCAGGCTCCCGGCCCGCACGCTCTCGTGCTGCAGCAGGGTCTGGTTCAGGGCGAACAGTACCTGGGCAGAGGGAAGAAAGGGAAACAGGGGCTGTGCTCAGGGCTGGCGGAGATCCCTGACACCCCCAGGACTGGCCCTCCTCCCTCCGACGTCGGGGCAGCAGGCCCAGGAACGGAGGTGTGAGGGGCCGGCACCGGCTGGCGCAGTCTGAGCGTCTCACGCTGCCCGCTCCCTGCTCGCTGGCCTGACGTGTGCAGCCCGCTCATCTCCAGCCTCCGTCCGCGGGTCCCCACTCCCGCTCCGAGCATCAGCACCTCATCTAATGCTGGGCCGAAAGCAGAACCCCAGTTGTGTCTGGGTTTCGGAGGGATGGGTAAGTTTCTCTCTGGACTCCTTTCTTTCCTGTGTTTAGGAAGTTCTAGAATGAGCCCAGACTCACTTTGTCATCAACAGCACCCCCAAACAAAGCCAACAAACAAATGACCCAAACAAGCTTACACGTTAAGGCCTAGCCCAAATGCCACCGGCTCCAGAAGCCGTCCTCACACAGGCGAAGGCCAGGCGCTGGCCCTGCGGCACGCCACGCTGACATCCGGCCCGTTTCCTCAGGGCCTTGGTGCTCTGGGCCACAGCGCTGGGCCGGGGCACGGCTGTGTCCCGGGAGACCTGGCAGGCGAGGGGATCACGCCAAGTGCTACACAGAAGACCAGATGCCGGGTCCCACCCCTGGGCCCGGGATCTCTGAGGTGGAGCCCAGGGTGTGTACTTTATCAGGTCCCTGGAAACTTCGCTGCAGCCTGACCGCTTCTGCTTTGAGGTCCAGGGGTCCAGTGGAACACGTCCTGCCCGAGGCATGAGACCTTAGGGGTGATCTCAAAGGTTCCACTGTGGCTGGGAAACGGAGGCCCACGAGGGGCAGAGACTTGCTCAGTTTCACACAGCGACTGTTTCCCAGACTCCCTTGGCCAACACAGAGGAGCAGGGTGTTCCTTGAGTTATTTAGCACAGAGAGAGGGGAAACTTGCTGTGATTCCTGAGCAAAACGTTAGAAGGGGCCCCAGGCAACCTGTCCAGTCAGTCCTCAGGCCCCTTATTCTGTTTGCACACAGTCATGGATGACAGTCCCCCAGCCTCCTCTTGGTCCATCCGACTGAGGCCCAAGCCTCTCTCCCGGGCCCACTGCACGAGCCCCTCCCATGCCTTCCCTACAGAACGCCTCCCTCCCCCCATCCCGTATTCTTCCGCCATCGCCGTCTTTTAGAAGCACAATTCTAATGGTTTCTTTCTCTTTTTTGCTCAAAACTTCCTTGGGTGCCTCCTGTCCTCAGGATAAAGGCCCATCTCTTCAAGAGAGTCTGCAAGACAGTGACCTGGACCCTGCTGTGGTCAATGACCTCATTTCCTACCCAGCCCTTTGTCCCCAGATGCTCAACTATGCAGCAACTCTGTGCTTCGTACATGCTGTTCCCTGTGCTCCCCACCTCCGTTCTCCACTTGCAGGCTTGGACTTGGCCGTCCAGGCTCAGCTCAGATGTGTCCTCTGCTGAACTCCTCTGACCCTCCGTAAGACTCCCCAGGTGTCCCTGTATTCATGCCCTTGGCCACGGGCCTCGGTGGCTCCCTCCTGTTCTGATTCTGGACTCGCTTAATGGCTGATGGGATGTGAGTAACCACTTCGAATAGCGGCCTACAAAGCTCCATGTGCTGCCGCTTCTCGAACCTCCACCACGGCCTGAAGGCAGGCAGGCAGGCAGCCTGCTGGGGGGGGGGGGGACAGCTGGGACAGGGGTCCCGCCACGGCCATCCCATCCAGCCAGCAGCTTCCAGACATGCAAAGAGCCCAGCAGAGCCCACTTGCAACTGGGCCCAGACAGCTGAACAAACGCACACCTCTGTCGCCGCACAGCACAACTGGGGTGACAGGTCCCTCCATCACGGCACGGACACTCGATTGTAGCTGCTGTTGGCTACCTGTCTCTCTCTCGAGGCTCCGAGCTGCTTGAGCACAGGAGTGCCCCTTGCTCATCTTGTACTTGCAATACTCGGCATGGGAGCCTGGAACGACAGCCTGGAACCCCTTCCGTTCCTTAGCTCTTGGACACCTGCTGTGGTCACGTCATTGTTCAAGGCTGCCTGGCAATCTCTCAGACTGCCCCTAGAATTCCGCTACTCTGCATTTGGGGCACACCACCACCACCACATGGCAGAAGTTCCCACCCAGTGCTGGCAGCCACATGGTTTCAGAACACATGATCTGAACAGAAGAGCTCACACAACAGGTACACAAAATCTGGCCAAAAATACCGTCATGGGCATTGGGGCCAAGCTGTGCTTGTTAGATCAGCTCCACCCGTCTCCTCCCACTGCTGTTTCTGGCGGTCAGGAGAGCCGGATCGAGCCGGGTGCAGCAGCCCAGGCTGCTCCCCTTGATGAGCTGGCTGGAGATGAGGTCAGACCCCACCACCCCACCTCTGGGCCTTCTCCAGGCTCTGGCCACTACCCCTGAAATCCGATCTGCAGCCACCTGGTGCAGGGTGTTGATGGCAGTGTGGTGGCTGGGGATGGATCACAGGAGGCAGTGGACCTGTTGTTGAGGACATTGCTAAGGCAACAGGCACTTCCTCCCACATGGCACATGCCTTGGATGAAAGCATCCGTGTCAAGTTGGAACGCTCTGCTTCCCTCCTCGGGGGGCTGAGACGCACAGACCTCCCGTAACCACACCCTGCTGCTGCACACACCTGCCCTGATGCGTCTCAGAGTAGGCCCGGCCGAGCACCACCTGGCCTGGGATGAGGTCATCTGCCCAGGCACCCAGAAGTCACGCCTGGAGGAGAAATGGCTCCCTTGGACCTTCTTAGCCCCACAGTCATTTCCTCAGTCATGCAGCCCTCGTGGAGCGGGGACGTGTCCTGGTGAACTGAGCACTGACAATCTGTAGGGTGCGCAGAACAAGTCTGGCATGTAGCAAGTGCTGGATAAACGTTCGCTGAACAACACTTGGAAGAAAATAGTTAGACCTTTACTTTTCTCGATTGGAGCCAGAAGGGCCCCTGGAGGTCACTCGGTCCCGTGGTTTTTCAAACCCCTTTAGCCATGGAATCTTTTCTTTGTTGTTATTGTTTTCCGGAGGAATCTTATTTGGAATTCAAAACGTGGAGCAGATAAAAATGGAAACTTTCCTGATTGACATAAGGGAGGCAGGCTGGAGCCTGAAGTCCCGCTAGTTCAATGTCCCCTGCAAGAGGGGCTCCCAGAGGTTCTCCGTGGAGCTCATAGTACCCTGGAGCCCAGTTTGAGAACCACTGATCTCATCCCGTGCCCTCGACACATAGAAGAGAAGAGGAGACGGGGCTCAGAGTGAGCACGACAGGGCTCCCCCGAGGCCCCGCTGTGAGCTAGGGGTAGGGTGGGCTCACACCATATCTCCTGACACCCAGCCCGGGAAGCTGTGCGTGCCCTGGGCCTCTGGGGCTGGATTTCCGGCTGTCCACTGGCACAGTCCACGTCCATCCCACACACGGGGCCACGCCCACTTTCTTTCTGGAGCCCTGTGAAAGAGCCAGAAATGGCCAGGCAGTATTTATTATTAGCTTGTTACAGATAGAAAACTGAGGCCGCATCACTGAAGAGGCATCCCCGATGTGCACAGCAGAGTATGGTGGGCTGGCTGGCACTGAACCCCAACTGTCACCCGGAGCTCCCCTGCCTCCCACAGATCCCGGTGCTTCCCTTGGTCTTGGCTCTTAGCTCCCTGAACTGTAATTTCAGATAACTCCCTGTGTTCGTCTCTCTAGACTGGTTCTCAAACTTCCTAATGCCGCGACCCTTTAATACAGTTCCTCATGTTGTATGTGGGCAGACCCGCCTGGAGACGGACAGAGGAGCCGTGTCTCAGTTCCTAAGACCATCGGAAACATGTGTTTTCCGATGGTCTTAGGCGACCCCTGGGAAAGGGTCATTCAACCCCCAAAGGGGTTGTGAGTCACAGTTTGAGAACCGCTGCTCTAGACTGAGACTCGGCAAGGGCAGGAAGTCGGCCTCTCTGTTCACTGGTGAACCACAGACATTCAGGAACTGCGTCCAAAAGAAGGAGGCTGACCCTGAACCACGGGCCCCTCCCCCACACCTCCACCCTGAATCCATCCTCTGGAATTTAAGAAGCCGTCACCCAGTCAGTACTAGGGTCACCATGTTTATTGAGCACGTACTATGTGCCAGGAACCCTGGAAGCTCATATTAACTTAGTTAAGTTTTACTCTGGGACAGGTCTCGTATTAGCCCTATTTAATAGACTGAAAACAAATCACAGACATTAACTTCTCCAAGGTGACAAAACTAGAGGGGTTGGAATTGTACCTGAACGCCGCAGTCCAGCCGTGGAACCATCCTCGTGGTTCACCCCTGCTCCCCGGACCTTCCCTCTGCCCCCCTGGGAGACGGCAGCACAGATCATGTCCCCAGTACAAACGGGAACCAGAGAAGCAGAGGTGAGGACAGGCCCAAGACCACATGGCTGGCAAAGGACAGGGCTGGGGTTTCAATCATGTCTGTCTGGCTCCAGAACCGGTGCCCACGACCAGGACTTCAAAGTAAAATGTGCTCCGTCATGAGCATTCTTGGTGCTGCGAGCGGACATAGGGACGCTGCGCTCATTCATTCATTTGACACACATTCACCAGTGGACATAGGGACGCTGCGCTCATTCATTCATTCGACACACATTCACTTTCTGTCGACTCTCTGCAGGGATCGGGGGCTGGTGGATTAACGGGGCCTGGTTCCGTCCCCACGTGCTCATTTTAGAGGCAGGTCTGCCAGCTGGCCGTGACAGTGGACGGGTTACGTGGAGCCTCTGGGTCCTGTGCAGAAGCACCGTGCCCTGCCTGCTGCCCCCCGCCACCCCAAATTCCCAAGCCTGCACTGCTCAGACTCCGGGCCCTTGCCTCTGCTCCCGGCCTCTTCAGCACAGCACGCTCCCCGCCGACGGCCTCAGTGGCCCACTCTAGGATAATGTTTATGGTAGGGCTCTGACATGGAATAACAAACACCAGGTGAAG